AAAGACCAGTATGACATTTTCCTTCCTGAGAACTGTGTTTCTCTTGTTCCTCTGCCTCCCCACCTTACACAAGGCGCAGCTGAGCCCAGACAGGCAGTTGACCTAAAACCGCCCAGCAGAGCACACCCCAAGTTTCAGGCCTGGAGCCCAGAAGTCTTGACTCCACACTCGTGGGGGCCTGGGGCCTGACCTGACCCGTGAAGGTCTCTGACACTTCCCCCTCTGTGGGGAATGTGCCCCAGCCTGTACAGCAGCTGCCCCTGGGCCCTCCTTCAATATCCTAGGTAGAAAGACTGAAGGCAGCCCAGGAGGAAGGTCTGGACTTGGCCTGGCCACACAGGAGACTCCAGGATTCACCTTTCCCCTCTGCTCCCACCACCTGCGATCCCTGCTGCCAGAAGCGCCTCCCTCTATGACCTCCCTCTCAGCAAGATCAGAGCTCATCACTCAGCAGCAGCTGTTTGGGTGGGGTCCACCAAGAAGCCAGGGACCCCCGACTGAGTCAGAGGCTCTTACAGTCCCACTGGGGAAAGATATTGGAAGCCTACAAGGAAGCTTCAGGGCAAGCCAGTGACTCTCCGTGCGTGTGTGTGGAGTGGGCATGAGTGAGTGTTTCTTCCTTAGTGCACTTGCCTGTCTGCTGTCCACTCCATACCCTCCTGGCATGGCCTGGGGAGGGGCTGCAGAGAGACACTCCCCCGGCCTGGCCCTGTCCCCCTGTGCCTGCCCAAACTGTGTGCTGGCATTGGTGCTGCCTCCATGCGGAGCCAGGAAGGATCAGACTCATGACTGGGCCAGGGATCCCGCCCAAGAAGAGGGAGAGGTGGGAGTTGGCTGATTCATAGGATTTAGTTCCATGAAGAGCTGGAGAAATGGTTTCCAGGAAGCCAGAAAGGCAGGAAGAGCAGATACCTGAGGTGGAGAGAGAGGCCCGGGCAGCCGGAGCCCAGGGCGGGAGTGTGGAAAGTTGGCACATCCCTGGAAGCTAAGCAGGAATGTGGTATGATGCGTGCATCCATGGGTGCTTCCAAGAGGCACAGCGAACTGCTGCTATCAGGCAGAATTCCCAGGGACAGCAGGTGGGCGGCCCATATTCACCTTAGAAACACCTGCCCACAGGAGACTGGGGAAGATCTCTCTCGGACTCCCTCTGCACCCCACGACCTTCTAGCCCCTCCTCTCATCTTCAGGCTTCTTGCCTTTGCTCAGACTCCAGGGGGGTCCAGGGAGGCCAAGGGGGTCCCTCCTCCAGCAAACATTCATTGAGGGAGGAGTAGCCCTGTTTCTTCAACAGTTCTGCATGCCTCGGGCGACACCCTGGAGGGATAGGAATTAGGAACTGCCCCGCAGGCGCGCAGGCCCAAGGGGCTGCCGTCGGGGCCTGAGGGAGAAAAAAAAATGGAGAAACTGCTGTTTATCTAGAAACAGGTAAGCATTGTCAGTGAGGAATGTGCAGATCGCCCAGGGTTAGAGGATGGCCTTCCCTGCAGAAAAGGCCCTAGGGATTGTAGAGGATGCCTTCTTTAGTCTGGTATCCTGACTGATCCTTCTTCAGTCTGGCATCCTGTGCAATCCCTGGGGCCTTTTCTGCAGGGAAGGTGGCCTTTTCCTCTACAACCCTCCTCCTTGCCCCACTAAAAGATCCCGCAATAAAAGTCAATCACGCCTTCCTGTAATCCCAGCACTTTGGGAGGCCGATCACCTGAGGTCAGGAGTTGGAGACCAGCCTGGCTAACATGGTGTGGTCCACACTGCAGGTCCCCAGGCCTGGTCTCCTGGCTACTCCTCCAGCAGCAAATCAACCTGAGCTGCTTTCTCTCGCCTGCTCCCTTACATGTGGGACTGGTTCCTTTTCTAAGTCAGTGGATACAGAGGGGATGGAAGAGCCAGCAGATGCCTCCATAGCCAGCAGAGACGACAACAGGACCGTGTTTCTGAAGGCAGAACCTTCCTTCCTGGGACCCAGGAACTTCCATTCCAACGTATCTTCTCAAGGGCTGGATCTTGGTCCATTGTTGCAAAGAGAGCCCAGATCTAACCATCATGACGAATCTGGATGTACGTGCTGCCCCTGCAGTGGTAACACTACTGCAGAAAATGTCTTCTTTGGCCAGGCGCAGGCTTGTGCCCTTAATCTCAGTACCTTGGGAGGCCAAGGTGGGTGGATCACCTGAGGTCAAGAGTTCAAGACCAGCCTGGCCAACATGGCGAAACCCCGTCTCTACTAAAAATACAAAAAAATTTGGCCAGGTGTGCTGGTGCACACCTGTAATCCCAGCTACTCAGGCAGCTGAGGCAGGAGAATCGCTTGAACCTGGGAGGTGGAGGTTGCAGTGAGCCGAGATTGCACCACTGCATTCCAGGCTAGGCAACAGAGTGAGACTCCATCTCGGGGCGGGGGGAGGGGGCGGGAAATGCCTTCTTAGTTGGTTTGTTTTGGGTTCGGAGTGAACACGGCCAGGTGCTGTGGCTCACACCTGTAATCCCAGCACTTTGGGAGGCCAAAGCAGGCAGATCACGAGATGAGGAGTTCGGGACCATCCTGACCAACATGGTGAAATACCATCTCTACTAAAAATACAAAAATTAGCTGGGCATGGTGGCATACACCTGTAAACCCAGGTACTCAGGAGGCTGAGGCAGGATAATCACTTGAACCTGGGGGGTGGAAGTTGCAGTGAGTTGAGATCACGCCACTGCACTCCAGCCTGGTGACAGAACAAGACTCCATTAAAAGAAAAAGTGAACACAAAGGCTTTATTTTTCTTTTGTTATTTTATTTTATTTTTCTCCACAGACACTGGGAAACCTCCTCTTGATCGGCTTGGCACTGAGGAATCACCAATTCAGAAATGAGACTTTGGCAACCGCGCTCCTAAGAGGATGGGGCTTTCCTGGAGGAGCTCATGCGCAGCCAGGATGGGCATGGACTTTGCCGGGGCCTCCTGCTCAGCCAGGTCGCCAGGCAGGTTTGAGGCTGCCTCTGCCCCATTCCGCTCTCACCTCCTCATCTTCTCTCTTCGCTCCCCTCCACAGTCCCTCCTGTTCAGAGCCCTGAGGGAGGAGACTGGGGTGTTCCCTCTCCTCTGCCTAGCGCCAGGTGTGCCCTGCCCACAGCCCAGGCAGAGGAGGGAAGGTCTGGCCTCAGCCCTGAGGCTGGAAGGGCCTGGAGGGCACTGGCCAGGCTCTGAGCCCAGGGCTGGGAGGAACAGGTCACCATGAGTGACCGAAAGAGACTATGGTGACTCCTGAAAACGCCCAGGCGCCGCCTCAATGCCCCAGGCCACCCCTGGCTCCCAGGCTTTGTGCTGAAGTTGGGATAAAGTGGACAGGCCCGCCATGCTCCTCCACAGGTGTGCGCTCCCCGCAGGTGTGCCAAGGAGCACTGCAGGCGGGAAAGTAACGAGTCCTGACTCCAAGGCCAGGCCCCGCCACCTCCCCGCAGCCCGATTTCACCCGCCGCTGCCGTAAGTTGGCCTTGGCTGCTCTTGTACCCACGTGGGGCTTCAGTTTCCACATCTGCCAAGCGAGGCGTGTGGGTCTGACCATCTGAGTCCCAGGACAAAGGGAGCCCTAGGAACCCAGGGCTGTGACGAACCCAGGTCTCGTTTCTAAACCCCACAGCACCAACACAACCCAAGTCCACACAGGGCTGTGCGCTGCCAGGATGGAGGGTCCAGCCTGCTCACCCCCCTCCTCCTCCCCCTTGCTCTGCCCTTTCCCTACCTCCCCCAACCCTAACTCACACAGATGCACACACACAGAAACACACATAGACACACAGACACACACACACACAGATATGCACAGATACACAGACACACACAGACTCACAGATACACACACAAACACACACATAGAGACAGATGCACACACAGACTCACAGACACACAGACACACACACCTTCACACACAGACATACACACACAGACACACACAAAGATACACAGAGACACACAGACACACACAGGCACACACACAGGCACACCTGAACACACAGACACACCAGACACACACACAGATGTACACACAGACACACACAGGCAGACACATACACACAGATGCACACACAGACACACACAGACACACAGACACATACATACACAGGCACAGACACAGACACAGATGAGCACACACAGACACACAGACGTACACACAGACACACACACATACACACGCAGGCACACATAGACTCACGGACACACAGACACACAGAGACACACATACACAGACATAGTCATACACAGACACACACAAAGACACACACGGACACAGACAGACACACAGACACACACAGACACAGACACACAGACACATAGACACATAGATACACAGACACACATACATACACATACGGACACACAGATACACATGCAGGCACACACACAAACACAGAGACACACGGACATACACACTTGCACAGACACAAACACAAACACACGAACACAGACATACAGATAAACACACACACAGACAGACACACACATACACAGACACAGATGCACACAGACACAGATAGACACACAGACACAGAGACACAAACATACACAGACACACACAGATGCACACAAGCACACACAGACATATAAACATACAGAGACTTACACATAGACACACACTACAGAGACACACAAACATGCACACACAGATGCACACACAGACATACACATATTTTATTTGTAGCCCAAGAGAGGCAGGCTGCATGCAGAGGGTGGCGGCCGGGCTGGGTCTGTCCATTCGAGGCGCGGGGCTCCTGTTTGTGCAGGACACGTGCCCAGGTCCTCACCAGCAGCTCAGGCAGAGCCTGGAGCCAGAGGCACATCCCCTACCCACCTGCCCTCCGCTCTGAGTCAGGGGAGGCAGGACCTGCCCCTGGGGCCTGTCCAGGCAGTTCTCCCACTGCAGGTGAGAGGGGTCGGCTGGGAGTGGGTGGGCTGGAAGGAGCCCTGGAAGCAGGTGGGGGCCCTTGGAGGCCTCACCCCACAAACCCCAAGCACATGTGGGATGTGGCAGTCCTTTATTTAGAACATTGCAGGGCTGAGGGACCCTCAGGGCAGCCCTGAGCTGAGGACCCCCATTCCACTGCAGGGCAAAAAGGGACCAGGCCCAAGGAGGCCACCTTCTGCCCAAGGTCCGAAAGCAGAGAGGGTCTTGCAGGCGGCCCAAGGGCGCCGAATCCAGGTCCCAGAGCGCAAAGCCTTCCTCCCAGGGGGAGGCAGTTTCCCATCCACCGACCAGGCTTCCCTGGAAAAGTCCCAGCACAAAAGCAGCAGAAGCAGGCAGCCACAAAGGCTCGGAGGACAGCAGGCCACCGGGCGCGGCAGAAGGAAGCTGGGAGCCTCACTTCTGGGAGAGGATCCTCGCAAACTCCTCGTAGTTCACACGCCCATCCTGGTCCACGTCGGCCTCGCGGATCATGGCATTCAGCTCCTCCTGCGACAGCTGCTCCCCCAGCTTCTCCATGGCCTGCTTGAGCTCGTCCACGGTGATGTGGCCGTCGCCGTCCAGGTCGAAGGCACGGAAGGCGGCCTGCAGGTCCTTCAGGCCGATCTTGTGCTTCTTCACCGCCTCCAGGAACTCCGGGAAGCTGATTTCGCTGTCGCCATCGCTGTCCAACGTGGCGATGAGCTCCCTTATCTCGTCCTCCGTGAGATCGCTTCCCAGGGAATTCATCACCTCGCTCAGCTCCTGGGCGTTGATAGAGCCGTTTCCATCCGAGTCGAACTCAGAGAAGGCCTGCTTGTACTTGGCCACCTGCTCAGAAGTCAGCTCGCCAGCCATGCCTGCGTCCCTGCACCTCGTGGAGCCTCCAAGCTACTGCCCACCGGCCCTCACCTGCTGCTCTCAGAGCTCGTGGTCCAGAGTGCAAGCAGCCGCAGTGATCCGTGGCAGCGTCTGTCCCAGGCAGCCCTGCTTGGCATGGAGCCCCCTCCTTTTCTGCAATCAGAACAAAGGGAGGAGGAAGGCTCCCCACCCTCCAAATGCCCGGGGGTGAGAGCCTCCTCCCAGGGAGGGACAGATCAGCTGCAGACAGGAAATGCAGGAATGGGGGTGGGAGGGCTCTTAGGTGCCCAGGAACTGGCATGGGGTTGGGGAATGGGATGGCTAGCCTGCCAACCCCTCCTGGCCTTGACAGCAACCACCTCCCTCCAGAACGTTCTGTCCAGTGGCCAGTTTCCCCTGCAGCTGATTCGCAGAGATTCTGAGCAAGCCAAGGGGTTCAAGACAGCTTCTCCAGCTTCACAAAGGCCCAGCCTGGAGAGGGAGAGGGCTTGAAGAGATCTCCCTCAGGGGTGCAGTGTTTGGCATTTCCATACCCCTCTCCGGAGCTAATGCCTAGCTCTTGCCCTGAGACTGGGGCTGGTGGAAGGGAAGTGGGTGGTAGTATTGATTCTGCAGGGCGCAGCTGTGGGCATCGTCCAATTCCCAGTCAAGGGTCTAGAGACAGAGGATGGGGCTCGCTGCCTTTAACTTCAAGGAAGCAAGGGACCAGGGCTGCCTTCAGAGCCGCAGCTGGTGCTGAGATGTTGTTTATCAAGTGAACATGATGTGTGATTTCAGAAGAGAGGGAAAAACTTTTTTTCCCAGAACACGTTTTTTCCAGTCTCCCCAGAATACTCCCTTTGAGCTCAGGGATTCCCAGAATTCAGTTCCATTGCCAAGTCCAAGGCTCCCGGTGCAGCTTCCTGCCTCTGGGGAACTGAGTGGCAGCTGTTCCGTTTACAGGGGGTCAAACGGCTGCAGGTGGAGCCTTGCTGCAGCAAGACATGGGGGCCTCAGTGCGCAGCACACCCCAAAGGCGCAGGCAGGGGCAGGAGGAGCAGAGCCGGTGGCTGCCCAAACTTGGCCTTCCTTGTGGTTTTACTAAGTGTTGGCCCTAAGCACAGAAACCCCCCGGGAACCTACTGGGGCCCTCGGTCTGGCCTGTTCTCTGGAAGGAAATCCCTGGGCCCACTGCCTTGAGCTGCTCTTGGGGCAACAGCTAAGCTTTCGGGAGACCATCCCCAAGTCCTTCCATCCATGTGACCTACAGTTGTGAAGGGACATTTGCCTTGGAGTCCCCAAGATGACTTTCTCAAGAACATCCCCTCCGAGCTCCACAGATTCCTATTCTTCTTCCCAACCCCTGCCTGTACATAGGGAACAAACTCCTTCATTCTCCTGAGAAAGCTGATACATCCCACCTCCCTCCTGTTCAGCCCATCACATAGACCAAGTATGCTCTGCTCCCCTAAAGTGCAACCAGACAAACACCTCCCAGCCCCTCAGTGCTTCCCACGCTCCCCAAGGGAAGCCAGAGACTGGGGTGCCCAACCACTCACCCCATGACCCACAGCCAGTCCCCCAGGGCCACGTGAGGGGCAAACACAGAGCAGTGAGAGGAAGGAAGCTGCCCCAGCCAGCCCTGCTGTGGCAGCTGCTCCCTGAGCTGTGTGCGAGGGGACAGAGGAAGGGTGGGAAGGGCTTGGAAGAGCTGCAACAGAGGGAGAGGCTGAGGTTTGCAGAGAAGGAGCTCCCGGGACCCAGTGAAAAAGGGAAGGTCGTGGTCAGTAGGGAGGGGGTCACCTCACCGGAGTTCAGGGGGACCCAGCATAGAAAGAGCTACAGAGAGGAGGGTCCCAGTTGTCTAACTCATTTTATAAAGATGTCTTGAAGATTTTCTAGCTCACCTCAGTAGTGGAATAATACAGAGGCCTCAATAAATATTGAGTAACCAATTTCTCAATGAAACTGACAACCGGTTTTGGGTGGAGAATGTCGGTCCAGCCAGGAGACGAGGCCAGAGGGGCGTCCTGCCTGGCGAGGGCCTGGAGAGGGTGGGACTCTGAATAGCTGGATTCAGCCCAGCTCCTTGTTTTATTTCCTTAAAGAATACCTGAGGACTTAAATCTGTATTTGCAATTTCCTTTCCTTCTCATCTTGTTGATGGGACCTGTGATTAAAATCCAGATGCTTAATAATTATTTCATATCATTTTTCTCAGGTATTAAATACTACTTTGCAAACAATATTAGGAGACTTGAGCTTCCAGTTTCGTCAGTGATGTGGAAACGTGTGTCTCAATATCCTCATCCATAAACTAGGATGATGCACCCACCGTATCTGATCGGGTCGAGCAGGATTGGAGTATTAAGTACAGACCCAGCGGCCGGTGTTATTATCCTACGATAAACCTCATGGTCAATAACAAGCTGGTTCATGTTCGAGGCAAACCTACCCTTGGGAAAACATGTACTTGAAGGGTATCTCACATTTTTGTGATTCTTCCTCTCTCGATTGAACTGCAAAAATCAATTCAATTCAGTTCAAGCCAAGGCTCAGAGCGTTTGCTGACTTTTCAGTGTCAGCTCCAAACAGAGGCAGTTCCAGTCGGAGCAGAAGCATCTGTTTAGAAAAATCCCATTACTGGGTATATATCCAAAGGATTACAAATCGTTCTACTATAAGGACACGTGTACACGAATGTTCATTGTAGCACTGTTTACAATAGCAAGGACCTGGAACCAACCCAAATGCCCATCGACGATAGACTGGATAGGGAAAATGTGGCACATATACACCATGGAATATTATGCAGCCATCAAAAACGATGAGTTTGGGTCCTTTGTGGGGACATGGATGAACCTGGAAACCATCATTCTCAGCAAACTGACAGAGGAGCAGAAGATCAAACACCGCATGTTCTCACTCATAGGCGGGTGTTGAACGATGAGAACACATGGACACAGGGAGGGGAGTACTACACACTGGGGTCAGTTGGGGGGAAATAGGGGAGGGACGGTGGGGGGTGGGGAGCTGGGGAGGGATAGCAGGGGGAGAAATGCCAGATGTGGGTGATGGGGAGGAAGGCAGCAAATCACACTGCCACGTGTGTTCCTATGCAACAATTTTGCATGTTCTTCACATGTACCCCAAAACCTAAAATGCAATAAAATAAATAAAAAGGGGAAAAAAAAAAAAAAGAAAAAGCCTCAGGCTGTCTCGTCGTGAGGCAGGACGATGGTCATTATTCTCTCACAGTGTCCCGTAGGGAAAGTCCCCTGACTTCTCGCTGGGTGCTTCCCAACCCGGGGTCGTTTCCTCCCTAACGCATTCTCTTTTCAGAGCATGTACCAGCACAGAGATCATTTGTTCCATCCGCCCCACAGCCTCCCGTCGCAGTATGCAAGCCGTCAGCTGCCTTGGCTCAGCCTCTGTGGGTGAAGGTTGCACTCCCTTCCTTTGGGGTCAGCACCAGGGACACCAAGGACAGCCATGCACGAGTGACCCCCATCACAGAGGGCGTGGCACAGCCCAAATGGGGGCTCCCAAAAGGGGACAAGATGGCATTTGTCGTCACACCTAGACGAGCTTGGTCAAGCCCCTCTGCCTTGGCGGTTTAGCACAGCAGCTGGGTGTGGAGCCTGGCTTTGAGGAGGGAGAAACGCCTTCTTTCCAGCTAAGGTGCACTGCCGGGCGATGCCTCCTGCGCGTATCCCTGTGTGAGCAGGGGCCAAGGGCATCATCTGTCCTCCACCCCATGAAGAGCCCGAAGCAGGGGTGCTCAGCCACTGGCTTTATGTCCCACAGCTGAGCTCCCCCAACCCAGGAACCCCAAGAGAAGCAAACCCAGCAGAGCGGTGAGGAGAAGAAAAATGCCCCAGCCAGTCCTCACGTGTCGGCTGCCCCCTGAGCTGTGTGCGAGGGGTCTACGAGAGCTGCAGAAGGCTGGGAAGAACTGCAGCAGAGGGAGAGGCTGAGGTTTACAGAGAGGGAGACAGGGACCAGGTAAGAAAGAGAAAGTCATGATCAGCACAGAGGACGGAAGTGAGGGGGTCGCAGGGAGATGGTGTTTTGTGATTGAGTGCTGGAAGTCGGTTCTTCTGCCCTCTCCCTCGCCTCTCAGCTGAGCTCCTCATGGAGACACCAGCTATCCCTGACACCCTGGAGGAGAAAGGGGGTCTCTTTCATTGAGGAGGATTGAAGACATCCGCACTTGCTGTAGGAAGGATAGAAACCTCTGTAAGGTGGCTGCACCGGTCCCCAGAGGCAGGAAGGGGAGAGTTATCATCAGTCATGGGACTGCCTTGTGCAGTAGCTGTGTGCACATGTGCTTTTGTGTATGTATGTAGGTGCGTGGTGGGCAGGGGAGGTGTGCGGTGTGTAGGGGAGGTGCGCGTGTGTAGGTGTGGGTTTGTGTGAGCATGTGAGTGCAAGTGTGCCTCGTGTGTGTGTGTGTCAGGAGGAGTTATGTAGGGTGTAGGGTGGTTGTCCTTCCTTCAGGAGAGGCCAACTCTAGCTTTCATACCAGACTGACCCCAAGAACAAAAACACCCTCTGGCACTTCTAATACGGTTTAGCTCCTCAGTGCGGAGAAACCAGTCAAACAGGTCCCGGAGCCTGGACCAGAGCAGGGACTCCTCTCACAGGTCTGTGTTTGCAGAAACTGATCTCACCTGGGACCTGTGCACAGCCCGACCTTCTCTAGGGACAGGGCAGCCCCGGGGCAATGAAAAGGGGCTATGTGGAGGGTGCAATCTGTGGAAGAGAACGCCAGGGACCCAGCTACACAGAGCTCATCTCCCCTGCAATTATCCTCAGCAATGAGCAATAGAAATGGTGATTGCGCCGGCTTCACAGGTAGCTAGCTCCAATACCCCTGTCCTTGATGCTCCCGCACACCACGAACCTCTGCTACACACTACACACGTCCCCTACACACCACGCACCTCCCCGCACACCGCGCACCTCCCCCGCACACCGCGCACCTCCCCCGCACACCGCGCACCTCCCCGCACACCGCGCACCTCCCCCGCACACCGCGCACCTCCCCCGCACACCGCGCACCTCCCCACACACCACACATGTTCCCAACAGCGTGTGGTCGGATCACTGGGGTCAGCTCCCGGCTTCTGCACTTTGCTACCTGTGCGGCCTGGGTGAGCTGCTCCACCCCAAATGCTGCGTGCTTCCTGGTGAAGAAGATGGTACCAGTACGTGCCTTATAGTAGCCTTGAGAGGGTCAAGGCCCTGCAAGAAAGCCTCTGCCCAGCACCTGGCGAGAGCAAGCACTCAGCAGGCAGGAGCTGCCCGACCCTCCTCCACCCCCACCCACACCTGCTCCCTGTTGGGTGCTGCTCCAGGCTGCTTCCTGGCCAAAGCAGACGTACCCTCACTGCATACTCAGGTGCCAATTCTAAGTTCTCAGGGCTTCAGCTGAATGAAGAAACACCTGATATCACTGATGCCATGGACGGCATTGGCCTTGCTGTCCACTGCACTCCTGGCATCTGCCATATAGACCACGTGTGTGGAACACGCTTGACAGAGGCACATAATTCTACAGGAAATCGCAGGGTGAAGAGCTGGAGGGTAGAGAGCTCCGTTCTAGTCCCTGTCCAATCAACAGTGTGATTCTTA